ATATTGAATATCATTTTAAAATATTTAAATAACATAATCACGTTATGTTAAATTAACACTTGAATATATTAAAAATTTAATACAAAAAATTTTAATAGGACCAGTTTTAACACAAATACAAAATATTTTTTATTATGTATATATTTACTTGAATTTGGAATGTTTTAGTAAAATAAATTCTTTTCGTGTACATAAACATGTTTATACCAAAAATACGCGATTTTTTAATAATAGAGTTTACATAACTATGATTTGTTGACGAAACGTGTTTTTCATTTGTAGCGATTTTTATGACACGGACACGTGCACTTTGAGATTTCTGAAACCTGACTTTCTACGTCGAAGAAAAACAAGTCGCGTAACTTTGTAGATCGATAAAGAATTAATTGACTCGTCGAGGTGACGTTTCTTTCTGCGTGGTGACGCCTTGACAATCTCGCTCACGATTTGCATGATCCTTGCACGAAAGCAAAGTTCGTATGACGTCATTTTACCGTCGTACGTGCGTTTTATTGTCGCGTGACTAATAACAAGCAGCTCTTCGAGTTCGTCTGTAACAATTTGGCTGGTAATTGCAGTTGGCGATACGTATTACACGGCTCTCTATCGCGGACCCCATATTGTCGAGAAAATCGATATCTTTATAGGATATATCAGTACACGTGAAATTACATATTGAAAAATCACGCGAGTCAATGGACGCAACTGTCAACATTACCCCAACGTATCTTATTTATTTACAAAATGCAATTTTCCGTATTTACGAAATTGTGTATTATTAATGGAGTGCTGATTAAACAAGATAATGAGTATATTTATTAATTTCCTTTGTATAACGTACAAAATTTTCTTGTATATTTTGGCAAAGTTTATTAAAATTGTGCTATGATTATCGGGCACTAACAAAATTGTTTAGAACGCTCTTGTAAAAATACAATCAATATAAAATTTAAAGTGACATAAATAGCTAGATAAAAATATACCTAATTTAGCTCTGTAAAGTATATTAAATATATAAGAATATAACCATATCCTCATGATTAGCATTGAATGCTTTTATACTCCACACTTTTCACTCCACATTGTTATCTAGCTATTTATGTCACTCTAAATTTAAATAAAGTTAATTTAAAGTTAAATGCTGATCTAGTATTGAACAACTGTTCAATGCTAACGAGCTGTGGCTCGTAGTCTTTAAATTTGTTTAGTTATAATTTATATTATTTTTTGAGGTAATTTTCTTTAGCAAATCAAGTTATTTTATAGAAGTGTCGAATTTTTTTTATTTAATAAAGTCTCTCTCTGACTCTCTCTCTCTCTCTCTTACTATAGACTTTTCTCAAAAACAAGATTATAATAGTTTAAAAAATTACGATTTTAATGATTACACAAAAAAGTAATAGGTCGACGGTTATTTTAGAAAAATATCTACGTGCATAAACTTACATATAAATTTAACCTTGAAAAATAAATATAATCTCATCTTATTTTCGTTCGATGAAGATGCAGCTCTTAATTTACTATCGTATGCTTTATACTATTTCATTAAGATATGTACGTAGTTTTAATATTTTATCCAAATTATGCGAACATTTGTAAAGGATGGGGCACTCCAATTTTTCGGTACTTTACTAAAAAAAACCACCTTAATTTTTTGAACTTTATAAAATCATTCTTGATTGGATAAATAAAAGCAAATAATAATATGAATGGCACGACAGTCTAAGTAATCGTATACATTTTATCATTGTATGTTTATGCTAATGAGAATTATACTGCAGCATGCACGGTAAGATATATAAAGTTAATAACGCGTTAAATTAAAAGTGACTCGTCGGGAGAGAGATTCGTTTACATGAAACTTCCTCGGATTACATCGGTCGAAGCATAACCCACGGAATGATCCATCGTAAAAATCTCTAGCCACCCTATGCGAAACACGCAAAGTCGTCTTCGGATAATCGTCGCTCCGACAAAAAAGTTGACTGTCGAGGTCCGTGGAAGATAAGAGGAGGCTAATATAGTCTGTCTTATCTCGACAGTACACGGAACATCCGGCTGATTTAAACTCTCTTGTCCGAGTCGAAATACGTTTTTCGCAATTTCGTCCGATATTCGTGTTTCACAAAATTGTTTCGAAGCGGAAGAGAATAGGAACAAAAAGGATTGCATCTATCTGAATCGATCGACTCTTTGAAAGTCTCGTTGCGGTTAAACTCGCAAAGATATACATTCATAAATTTCGATTTATTTTATTGAGATATCGAATAAAGTCTCGATACCATGGATAAAATTTTAACAACGGCTCTTATGAGAAAACAATGCACTGGCGCGACGGATAGGATGAAGTTATTCCTTTTTACGCGTCATGTTCACGGGGATATTATTTTGAGGTGTCACAAGTTTATTGACGACGAAAGTTTAAGCGATTCGTTGATACGTGAAAAAATTTATATATACCGTGTACAAAAGACGTCTAGTGTGCGCTTTTCTAAAAACTAATACTTCGGACTTCAGCCAGGATATTCGGAAAATAGGGTGATTTATACAAAGAGGTTAGCCAACATTTATCTTGTTTCTACTAAAAGAAATAAAGGTGTACAACGAGAGCTTTAGTTGCAGTCTATTTTGCTTTTATCAAGTTGCAATTTGCTCATATTTATTTCTGCTAATATAATTTAATTTTAAGGATGTATCAGGTGTATATTCTATACAAAGTGAATGAAATTAAAAATTTGGACTTTTTGTATAACAATAAATTTTTTATAAATTTGAAACAGTTCAATAAGGTCAATATTTATATTTAGTAATACAATTTACAGCTTAAATAAATTTATTTTATTTTATTTCAATTATTTTTTACAAACATATCCTTATAAGAATAATTTTTTATTCAGGTTCTTTAAAACTTTTTGTATTACTTTCAAATACAATATAGAAAAATCTAATATTTTCATTATATTAATAAATACTATAAAATAATGAATTATAACAAATCTAACTTATAGGTAAAAACTGTAAGATTTAAAAAAAATAGGCATCTTTCTCTCTCTTCCTCTCCTCTAAAAATTATTTTATATTGGTAGAAGTGAATATTATTTAAATTAAAAAATGCCTACATTGATACGACACTCGATACGTGAGACATCTTTATTTTTCTGCCAGAATTAACATAGTTATGATTTTATTTACGGAGGAAGACAAATTAGAAATTAGCAATTTTTATATTAGGAAAAGTATAGTCGAGAGATATAGACTATTGTACTTGTTTTTTGTTTTATGGAAAGAACGATTTTGCTAAAATATCCAAAAATGTGGCTACGTACAGACCTAAAAATAATTTTATTAGATCACTAAAATAATTATATAGGATCTCAAGTAGAAGAGCAATGCAAAAATTTGTGATATTCTAGTAATTAATTTGAATCTTACATAATTATTTTGATGGTTCAAAAATTATTTTCAAATCTGTATCTAGCTAAATTTTAAGATACTTTAATAAAACCACCCTTTTTTATATTATTATTTTTAATTAATTGCTAGCAAGTAAATCACAAAATCAAACAGATTTAATTTACTAGTTAACTTTATTTTTTCCTTAAAATTGTAAATTGAGTCTTCAAATTAGAAGAATTTAAATTTTTATAACATTGGCTTAATTGAATTTTTAGAAAATCTTTTTATAACTTTCATCTTCGATTTTTTCTCCTTTTCCCAGATTAATTTTTGCAAATACTCATTAAGCATAGTCCGTTTAAGCGATTTTAATTATTTTTGTTTCTATTAAAGGCCATATAGCTTTCCTGTGTATTACACTTTTATTACGACTTTATTATCGCACCATTATAGGACTCACACATTATACACTTCACACTGCAAATGTTTTGAAATATTAATCTTTCTTCTGATTGGTCAACAAAGCATTTGCAGCGTTAAATGCATCGCGCATCCTATTAAACCGACAAATATTAAGATAAACGTTCCGCGAAGTTTCCGTTCGGCTTTCGAAGTTTTCCGCTGGCGGTCGCGAATCGCTTCGAAATCGTCGGGTGCTGCGCTCTGTCGGCGTTGCGACGCAACATCGACGATGCAGCTTCCTTCCGGGACCGCCGTCGCCGCATCTCGCGAAAGAGGGGAAGTCCTCTCCCGCTATGAAAATCGCGAGAAATCGTATGAAAGAAGGAAGGAGCGAACGACGTCGAAGATATCGAAATGCGTCTGCGCCGTCGTCACGGCGCATGCGTTTCCGCGGCGTCGAGTACGAACGAGGGGCGCGATCGTAAACAGGAAAGAAAGAGCGAGAGGAGGGAGAGACCGATCGGAGTCGCGCACAGCTGGCAGGCTGACACTGGCTGGCGATTGATCCCGCGCGGTTAGTTCAGATTTCAGACGGATCAACATATTTAAGGATATGTGGTGGGAGATTGGAGGGGATGATTTAGAAAAAAAACAGACCACAGTGGCAAGAGACTGCTTCCTCGTACGTTACCCCCTCCAGACCCCCACCACCCGCCCTAAGTATGTTGTTCCGTCTGAAATCTGGCAGATCTGAAAAAAGGCAGTGCACCGGCGAGTTTAGTCGTATGCGAACCGTCGCGGCGCGTCGAATGAATCGGTCCGGTGTCGCCACCTGACGTGCGAACGAGAACGCCGAACGGAAACACCGTGAACGAGGGCGACCGATCCAAGTCCTGGCTGTCCAGACGTTAGTCATCTGGAGGAGTCGTGGTCTCGTTCTTCGCTCGCGCTTGAATTCGCGCTTGTCCTCCCCTCATTCTTTGGGCGTCAGCAGGCGAAACCGGCCAAATTCTACTCGGTGGTAGCGCGATTTCATCAACGTTTCCCTGCGGTACCGCTGGGTGGGAGCGGAGGAAGCGCCGCTCGGTCATCTGTCCGGGGTTGAAACGTCGACGACGGAATACGTGTACGCGTTCCGCGCGCAACGAAGAGGCGGCCTGGGAGGCCGCGGTGCGACGTGATTCGGCTCAGAGTATGTGAAAATGGATTTTAAGAGCGTGGTGTACAACGCTGCGAGGGACGGCAAGCTCAAGCGTCTCAAGGTAAGTCCCTGACGCGTAATGTCGCGCGAAACACGGCAGAAACGACGTTCCGTTTTGGTAGGGACTCAATACGGGCGAGTCGAATATGACACCGTGAATGCGCGAAGCTGATCCCTATTTTTCGAACGTGTTTGCTTTCAGTAGAAAAAAAGTCGGACTGCTGTCGGGTGAATATAGTGATATCTCTTTTTTTTTTTTAGCTGACTTCTTGCACGGTTTATTTTTAAAAATCATATTTTTAAAGTGCGGAATTTTGTCTTTTTCTCTCCTCCACTTTGGAGAAAAACAAGAGAAAAATAAACAGTGCTAGAGATTCAGCTGATAAGGCCTGTAGATTTGTAGGTAGATCACAAAAGTCATACAGGTCTTATATTTTGTAATTAGACTCTTTTTGTACCGATCATCTTTTCTCTTTTTTTTTCAACGTGGAGAGAAAAAAGGGAAAAGATGATCGAACGAGTTGAGCTGAGAGGAACAGGTTGAATGATGTCATAAGGACGTCATCGATTACTGCTGTAAGAGACCGGAGAAATTAATGGAACCGTTCGGGAGTCGAACTTGGAATCTTTCGTTTCTGAATTCGCATTTAACAATAAGCCATATGTCTACGACTGCTTCACTATTTTCATAATTATTTTGATCTATCAATACTTGGCCCAAGTAATCGACGGAATAACTTTATATAATAACCAAATCGAATTTAGTTTAATTTAATAATCTATAAAAGTATTAAATTTACTAAAATTCAGAATTTATTTTTAATTATTTTGATGCTTATAATGAATTTATAAGAATTACAGATATATAAACTTTTGAAACAAATAATTATTTGCGTACAGTATGTATTTTTCTGTTATTTTATCTAGCTCTCTCAACTTTAATCTCTGTTTAATTTATTCTTTATCTTCTTCTTAATGTTTAGAAAAAGTAAATTGACCTGAGTTATCTTAAATTACAATCGCTTACTTAAATTATAATCAGCGAAACCGGCATTATTCTTAGAACTACAAAACGATAAGTTAAACGGAGATTAAAGTTACAATCTACATTTGATACAAATGGCACACCTACTCCAGTTTCGACCCTGGTAACGAATATCTACGGTTACCGGAAATTCTATATTCGATACCATATGCACGACAAGAGACACGATATCGTCGACTTCCCGTTTTTCGAATTCGCAACGTTGTTGGCGATGCGAACGCGATGTTTTCCTTGGCGATGTGTCGCTGCCTTGAGACGTACATGTTTTTCTGGATGGCGAGCCAACTGTATTAATTCTTGATATTCGCGTTCGATTCCGCAACGAGATAACTTACCTCCTCTGTGGCACACGCTTCCTGATAGCGAATTCGATCGGACGCATTCAAAACGCACTGGTACGTGTTAAAGCCGTCGTACACAAATTGCTGTAAAGATGTGTGTTTGATATAAATATAGAAACAGGTCAAACCGTGAAATTCTTAATACATTTTATTCAGAGAAAGGTTTCTTTAATTCAAAGAAATGTTTCTTCTTCGCTATACGGTTAAAGAAAAAATGTCCTTGATTTGAACGTAATTTCTTTTGATTTTAAAGTGATGTTCAAATCAAAGAAATTTTTTCTTTAATCGTATAACAAAGATTTCTTTAGACATTACATTCATAATATCGTATTATACTCAATTCCAGTATTTTTAATCGCTTCTGTACACGGAAAGAATTTTCTGAACATTTACTCTGAAAATATGCAGTCGTGGAACAACATTGTATTTCAAAGAATTTTATATATAAATCTCTCTCATTCATTAATGATACTCGTATAATACTACAACTATATTTTTAAAGTAAATTTTAAGAGAAAATTTTTTCCATGTTATAAGTCTGATTTTCCCAATACGTTAATTTAACTAAAACAATAGAGTTGATTGAACCATTTAACCTCAGAAAGTGTTGTTATATTTTTGACTCAAATTTTTAGTTTATTACTTATTAAATCCATATGCTGATATAGACGATGTTGACTTTGAAACTAACCACGGAAATGGATTAATTTACATTTTGATACACATGGAAGTTAAAAATAACAAAATGTTATTTAACTTAAGAGATTGGATTTGTTTCTGTCATATTTAGCAGTGTATTGTTAAGTGAAACATATATTTTATAATTCGCAAAGTATTTGCATTTCACTTTTACCTTCAGATTGATCAGTGTGCAACGACTTTAATATGCACCAGTGCGCAACTAATGTGTGCAACCGAATTTGCTAAGAGTAAAGCGCGAGACTTTTCGCTGCGACCGACGCGACGCGGTGTCAGATGACGTGAGACTTTCGTCAAAAATGGCTCGAGCTAGGTTTCTACAGATAGAATCGTAGAACGTCCGAAGTCCGTTTGGTTTTCCCGAATTACGTTGTCGTCGACCTACGCGACGCGACGTAAGATTTCGAGGAAGGAATAAATCAGGAACATCTTCGTATCATATGTATTATATGAAAATTTAATTTTGTTAAAACTTTGTTTACGACGGGATGATACGTTCGACACAAACGTTTTCTCTTGTCGAGAACGCGCGATAAAAGAGATCTGACCTTTTTAAGGTTGCGGCACAAAGCAGGGTCTCGGCATCGTATATGCTTTCGATGCTCTACTTACAACCTCGTTTTACAAACGATCGCGCGTCGACAACAGAGCATTTTTCTATCGGTGAACCATATGAGCGAGAGAAATATTGACTCGGATGACTGGAAACCAAATCCTACATCTTTCACTTGCCAGGTGTGAGCGCACCTGCCAAGTCGAATTATCCGAGGTCTACACACTCGGACATTTTTTAAATGCATATAGAGACACAAAGTACTTTTAATATTCAAAGTAAATAATTAATCGTTAATCAGTTGAATACACTTATAGCAGTGATGCGCAATCTGCGGCTCGCCTGCTCATAGCCGATAAATATTAATAATTTAACAGAAGATGATTTTAATTGAAGAAATTAACGAGAATGATCAGATGTAAATTGCCTGTTTGTCTTATTGATATTAAGCGTTAATGGATATGAGAAATTAGGTGTTACACTCACAATCGGTATAGTACCAAAGCAACGATAAAAATAATCTAAATATAAACAAGCCATAAAAAATATAGCCGCTATACGAAGATCTTTTCACGTAGATCGCGGATGAAGTGATAACATGATTATTCGCAGAGTGTACAAACAGTCAAAGTACTGATTAAAATACTATTCGATTGCTGTTGGCGTACGAATTTAGGGTAAATATTTGCAACGCATGGCGACAGTATAGAAACGTCGGTTAGCTTATGAAATAGAAACGACGAACGTGTGCGGGCACGTTGCTGTCGGGAATTTCGAAATTACGCGATCGTTAACATAGAGTTGCCATGGGAATAGCTCGATTAAGTTTTCAGTATTTCATATAATAATTTGTTTAAATTTAGCATTCACACATATATATACACACACATGATAAGAATTATTAATTAATAATAAATTAATAACTGTTTTAATGGGGACGAATGTTAATGCTCGCATGAATGTGTGAAATTTGCACCTATCGGTTTTTCAAACATTTCTTTTTATTGAAATGTAAATTAAAATTTTATTAAAAACCTAAGATATATTAGAAATCAAATAAATGAAGAGGTTTTGCTATTTATTCTCAAGTTTAATTCTTTCTTTTTATTGTAATTCTTTTTCTCATATAAGTACATTGAGAAAAAAATTTATTAACCTTTTACCTTTCTCTTTTTTTTTTAAATATGTGACTTCGCGAAAGACATCTCGCGTTGTGGCTGTATGCTCATTTCTATTTATGAAAATTTATTAAATTTTAATAAATATTTCTTTGAACAAGTCTCAGCGGAATATTTACTTACGATAAATAAATATCTAGATAAATGAAAAAAATAATAGTTTAATCAAACTAATGGTTCTTGTATCTAGTAATAACAGGCCTCATGTGTTTATATTTAGAAAATATTCCGCTAGGGGACTATTCAAACGAATATTTATTAGAATTTAGTAAATTTTTTCTCGATGTGTATTTTACATCTATTTTTTATTTCATTATTTAAATTAAAATCAAATCTTAATTTTAACATTTTTTTTTTATATGTCTCAGAAAGTATATAGAAACAATTAATACCATACATAATAAGTATATCTAGAAATTAATCTTGTATATCTTGCATAACAGTTTATCTAGAAATTAATCTTAAAGCAATTCTCTCAATATCTGACTTCGTTATTGTATACTTATCGAACATCTTGTGTAATTCTCCAGTTGGTAATAAAGTCTTGAACATCCTCAAGGTTGCCGCTTTCCGGTTTTCTTCGGAAATTTTACATTTTTAATATATATGTATATGTATATGTATGTGCTCATAGCTCTTCTTTGTGAAACCTCTTCGTGGGCAACGACAGCTTCAAAAGTTTTCACCTAATCCTATTATTATAGAATTATTTTTTCTATGGACGTTGCATTCATGTTTTCTCACGTGCGTTTTAACAAATTGCTAAAGGATTGTCTTTAACGGTATTTCGTTTGCGCGCGATTTCAAAATGCCTGGCACGGTTGTCATCTGTGACGAATTCGTAACATCGCTGCGAGCATGTTAATGCAACAGGACTCTACAAATGTGTGATATTTCGGAACGATGAATTCTATTTTAACAAACTTTTAACATATCTAGTTTTATCATATTTTTAACATGTCGTTAACTGACTTAGTTTTATAAATTCCTCGATCGATTTGAGAGTCGTGCTCGACGAAAGTGTAAAAATGTTGAATATTCATAGGATTGTTTCAAAGATCTGTGAATTGAGAAAGTTATGGATCTTTAGGATACTGCTGCGATGAAATTATCGATATTATAGTTAGAAAGTATTACGGTTAAAAAGTTCTTCGAATTTTATAGAATTGAAAACTTTTTTATTGTACATATTGTTTAAAGTATTATATATATACACACGAAGAAACCTCAAATGTTTTTAATATA